ACTCTGTGGCTAGGTTCCTGACAGGCACTAGATGTCGAAAGCACATTACCCCAGTGCTGACTGATCTGCAATGCCTCCTTCGAAAGCTCTTTGGTCTTGGCCATAGTGGAGTATGGAGTCTGACTGTTTGAGGCTGTGGACAGGTGTCTTTTATACAGATAATGAGTTCAAACAGGTGCCATTAATACAGGTAACGAGTGGAGGACAGAAAAGCTTCTTAAAGAAGACATTACAGGTCTGTGAGAGCCAGAGATTTTCCTTGTTTGAAGTGACCAAATACTTATTTTCCACCCTGATTTACAAATAAATTCTTTAAAAATCCTGCCATGTGAATTCATGGATTTTTTTTTCACATTCTGTCTCTCACAGTTGAAGTGTACCTATGATGTAAATTACTGACCTCTGTCATCATTTTAAGTGGGAGAACTTGCACAATCGGTGGCTGACTAAATACTTTTTTGCCCCACTGTAACTTGTTCACTCTCTGTACTGTATCTAGTGACAAACATTAATGATCAATTAACCCGTTTAATCCTAACGCCCCCCAATTGGTGGCCTCTACAGTTTCATGTCCCAAGCATCTACAACTGTCCACATTCTCCAAACACAACTAAAACCCCAACCAAAGAGCCCAGATGGGAAACGAGGCCATTTTAAATTGTAATAAATTAAGATAAAATGATATTTGAACTTTATTTTAGAAGAGCATCTGACCTTCTCTGGTGTCTGCTGGAAAACTAAAAACACTTGAACAAATTTAGATGAGGACCCCTGGAATAAATAAAACAATTGACTAAATTTCCTAAATGGAATTTGAACTCACAACCTACTTCCTGTCAGCACTTTCACACAGGGCAGCTCTTCTAAAACAAAGTTCAAGTATTATTTTATATTAATGTATCAAAATCCAAAAATGTATTTGTTTACCATCTAAACTCTTTTGATTGTAGCTGTAGCTGTGCTCAGGGAATGCAAACAATCACTTGCACTTGGGACATGAAACTCCAAAGACCCCCAATTGGGAGGCGCCAAGGCCCAAAGAAAAAAGGCCTAGGGTCTAAAGGGTTAAGTACTAGACCTTCCACAAAAATAAAATATAGTAGTATAAGTGTAGAGTATGGTTTTAGCCATCTTACTACACTAATGATTTATATGAGGTTTCCAACAGCTTGTAGTTCAAAATGACACCTAAGAATTTGGTTTCTCGATTGACATATCATCACTTTTTAAACTTATTTGTGATTTTAACACATTTCTTATTTGTGTGCTCCCTGAAAAAGTCATGCTTTTGGGCAGATAAATGGAGGAAATGATGGGTTTTAACAGATTTTATTTGAACATGTTTAAGATGAATGTTTTAAAGTCAGAATTATTGTCTCTGCTCTGGTTCCTAGTAAAGGGTCACATTCCTGCTTTTTAACTCGACAGCATAACAGTTTAAGCTCATCTAAATGTTTATGAGCATCACTGCTGATGCTCACGAGCAGAACTGGGTAATTTAGATTATTCTGTAGGTTCATGAAAACTCACAACGCTGCAGTTCGATGGAAAACCATTACTCCATTACTAGGTGGACTTTGCAATAATATACACTTAAAGACACTAAGTTACAGGTCTGATAACTCAGATAATAAATGAAACAAACACATTTTTATTTCTATTTAAATATTATAGAATAGACTGTATGCTCCCTAAGAGTCCATTCTGTTACGCAAATAAAATCAAACATTTCTTTTGTGAAAATCTGCTGAATGATGCACAGATCTGCATCAATAAATTATAAACAGTATAGTGATTAAGTAAATAATGATACCAGTCTGGGGATTATTGTTTTATATGGGGCAGCTAAGTTTGTGTCTCAGAGTCCTAAGATCCAGTGAGGAACATAGGTATTTGAACACCTTGCAATGTTGCAAGTTCTCCCACTTAGAAATCATGCAGGGGTCTGAAATTCACATTGTAGGTGCATTCCCACTGTAAAAGACAGAATGTAAAAAAAAAAAAAAAAAGGAAATCACATTGTATGATTTGTAAAGAATTTATTTGCTTTGCACTGCTGGACATAAGTTTTTGAACACATGGCAATCAGCAAGAATTCTGGCTCAAAGACCTGTTGCTCTGCCTTTAAGAAGTCCACCTCTACTCCACTTAGTAATCTTAATTAGTAGCACCTGTCTGAGCTCTTTAAAGACACCTATCCACCCCACAGTCAGTCAGACTCCAACTGCTACCATGGACAAGACCAAGGAGCTGTCAAAAGAAACCAGAGACAAAATTGTGGACCAACACAAGACTGGAAAGGGCTATGGGGAAATAGCCAAGCAGCTTAGTGAAAATATATCAACTGTTGGAGCAATTGTCAGAAAATGGAAGAGGCTAAATACGACTGTCAGTCTCCCTCGGACTGGGGCTCCATGCAAGATCTCATCTCGTGAGGGTATTACTGATGATAAGAAAGGTGAGGAATCAGCCCAGAACTACACGGGAAGAGCTGGTCAATGACTTGAAGAGAGCTGGGACCACAGTTTCAAAGGTCACTGTTGGTAGAACACTATGCCGTCATGGTTTCAAATCATGCATTGCACGAAAGGTTCCTCAAGTCATCACATGTCCAGGCCCGTCTGCAGTTTGCCAATGACCATCTGGATGATCCAGAGGAGGCATGGGAGAAAGTCATGTGGTCAGATGAGACCAAAGTAGAACTTTTTGGTCTAAACTTCCTTTGCCATGTTTGGAGGAAAAAGGAGGAGTTGCATCCAAAGAACACTTTCCTTACTGTGAAGCATGGGGGTGGAAACATCATGCTTTGGGGGTACTTTTCTGGGAAGGGGACACGACGACTGCACTGTGTTAAGTAGAGGATGAATGGGGGCCATGTGTTGTGACATTTTGAGCAGCAACTGCCTTCCCTCAGTCAGAGCATTGAAGATGGGTCGTGGCTGGGTCTTCCAACATGACAATGACCCGAAGCACACAGCCAGGATAACCGAGGAGTGGCTCCGTAAGAAGCATATCAAGGTTCTGGAGTGGCCTAGCCAGTCTCCAGACCTAAATCCAATCGAAAATCTTTGGAGGGAGCTGAAACTCTGTGTTGCTCAGCACCAGCCCCAGAACCTGACAGATCTAGGGAAGATCTGTGTGGAGGAGTGGGCCAACATCCCTGTTGCAGTATGTGCAAACCTGGTCAAGAACTACAGGAAACGTTTGATCTCTGTAATTGCAAACAAAGGCTTCTGTACCAAATATTAATACTGATTTTCTCAGATGTTCAAATACTTATGTGCAGCAGTGCAAAACAAATAAATTCTTTACAAATCATACAATGAGATTTCACGATTTTTTATTTTTTTTTACATTCTGTCTCACAGTGGGAATGCACCTACAATGTGACTTTCAGACCCCTCCATGATTTCTAAAGCCGGGCGTACACTGTGTGACTTTTTCACTTTTTTGAGCCAATTTTCCACTCGTGCGAGAATCCACGAGATTGGGGCGAGTTTTGCGCCGAGCATCGTGTAGTGTACAGGGGGTTACGAGAGGCGATTAACACCACGTGACCAGCTGCCGATCAGCAGTCGTGAGCTCGCACGGACTTCTGGCGTGTTTGATATTTTGCTCGTCCCTCGTGAGGGTATCGCACTGTTGAAGTGGCGCTGCGAGCAGCTGCGACCCAAAAAGTATCAGAACCGCTCACGGCACATGCGCAATCCTGCATCAACACCGCTCGCCCGCTATTTCCCTGATAACACAAATTGTTCGTTTTTATTTCTAAACATTTTTTTTACTCACAAAGATTGTCAAGAAAGCGTGTTTGTCGTGTTCATGTCAAATTAAACTGATCACAAAACACAGATTTACTTTCTTTATTTTGTTTTCCTCATCCAACCCCCATAAATCCCTGTGTGTCCTCCTGCAGCACTCCCGAAGGACAACAGGCAAAACAAGACAAAAAAGTCTGACGTGTTGAGTAAAAAGTGCTATTTTTAGCATATTTTTAGGTCCGACGTGTTGCTACCAGACGTACAGTGTGAGCAGTCAGGTCCCGTCCGAGAACTGGGTCGTACAGTGTGAGCACATGACTCGTGAGATCTGCTCTGCGAGGAAGTCGTACAGTTTGAGCTGAAGCCGAGTGCTACGAGTGAAAAAGTCGCAGAGTCCGCCCAGCTTTAGAGGGAGAACTTGCAAAATCACACGGTGTTCAAATACTTATGTTCCTCGCTGTAAGTGATGTTGGTACGAAACTCACTCCATAGCTCCACATGTCTCACATATAAATTCATTTGTTAAAGAATAATACTCTAAAATGGAAAACAAACATTTTTGTGGACCAAAACTTTTGAGTTTCACCGACTAAAACAGACTAATATTAAAGCTAAGATGCCTGGCAGAAAGCACTGCTCAGTATGAGCAGCCATCCCCGGCCCTTAGTCCTAACCTTGAGGACACTTACATCAATATAAACGACACTAATAAAAGGACCCTTTGCCTAAAGGGACAATATGTGGTTTTTACTGTTAATCTCAGGAAATATCTATCTCCCGGGTGTAAAATACACAAGTATGGGTCTAAGTCTGGGGGAGTTGCTTCTACGGGAGCCCGTGAGGACAAAACGCATTTACTGATCCCCTCGCCCTTTACAGGAAGTTTAAATGAAGAGCTCTATGAAGACACTGAACGGTGGTGGCTAGGTTTAGCTACAGGAGGGTCTTTGTTGACATCATCATTCATCTTTGTGTGCATGTGGCTGTAGCAGAAACAGATATGGCCTGCTGTCAATACACAACCAACGTACACTTTCATAAGAACTTACGGGCGAAATCCTCGATATGTAAACGCTTTAAAGTCTACAGACAAGAGGAGGTTTAGAGAGAAGCTTAACATCTGCATCAAAGACGAAACTGAAGTTGTTTAAAGCCCGTATGAGCTCTGGGATGATGGGAAATGGTCCAATTCACAGTTTTTTCCCCACAATTTGCTGAGGAGACATTTATTCTTAACAGAAAGCCCTGGACCCTTCACTCATAAAAATGAAAGGCTTTCAAACATCCGGAGGCCTACTCTTTTATTTTTTTAAGGAAAGTTGGACCGACCTCTTCTGAAAACAGAAGTCAGCCCCGATGAGCTGAGTTACAGCGTTATTAGTCACAAGGACTGAACAAAATGAGCCTCACAAACTGTCCGTCGCTGCAGGAATCCAGGCTTTCTCCGGAGAGTCCAGGTCGTCTGCAATCGACTCATTTGTATTTCACGCTCCTCACGGAGGAAATTCCGCTAAAACGTTTTATCAAGCTTCCCACGGGCGTATAAAAATTATGACTGATGACATAGAGGTAATCAGCAGACCTGATGGAGGATGCCAGCTAGGACCAATAAAATGCACCAAGGTTTATTACATTTCAAACAAATGAAGATGCATCAGAAAGCGATGAGATGTTCAATAACTACATGTGATATAGTTAAAGATGGTGTGTAGACAGGGAGTGATTGACTCTGCGGAGCCTTTTTCATGCATGGTTGTTGTGTTGTTGTTTACATGCTTTGTATGTACGCAAGGTGTGTTGAGTGCCACAGAACGAGGCAGCTTCAGGTAGCCCTGCAGCTCAGAGTCTGGATCACACGTTGGATCTGTTACAGGATGCTGTTAAGAGTTCTGGCTGGTTCAGAGCAGCTTTTAACCATCCTGGTGTTTGTTTGTAGTCTTTTCAGTCTGATCCCGTCCTGTTTGTGTTTTGGTCCGGTCCTAACGGATCTGTGCGCTCTGGACTGCTGCCAGAACATCGGAACCCCTCGACCTCCCACTGACTGAATCTTACTTTTATTGGCTGTAAATTAAAATTCCCCCCGAACTGTGGGAAGGATTCAAGCTGACAGGTGTTTACAGAAAACGGAAACCCAGTTTTCCCAGGCTTTCCTACAGGAATTGAATGCAGCATGCCTGTGGACCGTTTCAGTGTATTTTTTTGGAGCTTCTCGACTCCGTTACGCAGCGCGCGACTGCTTCGTGTCATTTAGACCAGGAGCACGTTCCAGCCCACAGCGGTCGGGTTCTCGTTCAAGGGTCTTCTGGGTTCGGTCCACGGAGGCCTCCACTGACCACCTGCTGGAGATGAGCATCCGAGAACCAGTCCCTGTTCTGGAATAGTCGTCTGTTGATGAGTAGATCGGTTGGAACCGGTTCTTCTGCCGCCCTCGGCTCCTTAAAGATGGACAGCTCGGTCCGGTGTTTCCACGCAACAGCGCAGCGGCTGCTGGGATCCATCTAGATCTGCTCTGCTCCCAAAGACATGGAGCGACGCGATGAGCACCAGGATGACTTGGGTAAGAAGGTTCGACCCAGAGATGAGAGGTTCCTCGGGCTGAGATCTGGTCCATGGCGGGCTCAGAGATCCTGGAGGACCGCCATGGAGCTCTTTCTTCGGAACCGCTCAGTTTGTCTTACTGGTGGTTCGTGTGCAGAGAGACTCATCTGAATTAGACAGGAGTTTAGTGCTCGCCCCCTAATCGGAAGGTTGCTGGTTCGAGCCCCGCTCAGTCTGTCGCTGGCGTCGTGTCCTTGGGCAAGACACTTAACCCACGTTGCCTGCTGGTGGTGGTCGGAGGGACCGGTGGCGCCAGTGCTCGGCAGCCTCGCCTCTGTCAGTGCGCCCCAGGGCAGCTGTGGCTACATCGTAGCTCATCCCCACCAGTGTGTGAATGTGTGTGTGAATGGGTGAATGACTGATTGTGTTGTAAAGCGCCTTGGGGGGTTCCAGGACTCTAGAAGGCACTATGTCAAATACAGGCCATTTACCATCTGCTGGCTGCTCACTGGATGCTTTAATTATCATTCAAACAAACGAACTAAACCAGGCTTTATGTTCTCTGACCATTTAGTCCCAGCAGAGACAGAGGAAGGGCTGTCCAGTACCAGTACCGGTACCAGTCTGTTTAGGTCCCAGTGAGCACGGTGGGTTCTAAATGACCTGCACACTAGTGATGGGAATTCCGGCTCTTTTTATAGAGACGGTTCTTTTGGCTCAGCTCACCAAAAAGAGCCGGCTCTTTCGGCTCCCAAGTGGCTCCTCAGATTTTCTGTTGCATAGAGTACATTTATAACCAAAATGATGCTAAACTATATGTAAAATAATTTACTAATGTAAAAAAGCAATATATCAAATATTTATCATTTCTATGGATTTAATAACTGAACACTTTAAGAAATCTCCACTTTCCGACTGCTGGTGCTCATTTTCTCACTGTCTTCGTCGCGCTCTCCTCCCTCTCGCTCACCTTTTTCTTCTTCCTCATTCCCTCTCGTCTCCCTCCTCCCACATGTGCTCTGCTGTGTGTCTTGAGTCTGATTCTCCCTCTTCCCCGCCCCTACTGCTCTGTGTGTGGACAGTCTGAACACGCAGTTACACATGTTGACCAATCGCCTGTAGCTTCCACCAAGGCGGGGGGGGGGGGGGGGGGGGGGGGGGACGGCTCCCAATGACGAGCCGGCTCCCGTCGTTCACTTCAAAGAGTCGGCTCTTAGAGCTGGTTCGTTCGCGACCGACACATCACTATTGCACACTCCTGCTGCACACACCTTGTTCAGTGACTAAAGCACAGATGTTGTCATGGTAACAGAATAGTGTGTAAATCAGGATTTATCTCAACAAATTGATTTCCTTCTTTCCTAATTCATTTTCTCTCTCCCTTTCCTTACATTTTTTTCTTTTCTCCTTTTAAACATATTTTTAATAATTTTTAAAATCTTTTTATACTTATTTATTTTTTTGTGTGCCTTGGGATTTTGATGTCTTGAGACGCCATATAAAAGCGTGTCTTCCATCAGATTTCAGCAGTGACATCACGTGTTTTACCAAACTCCTAAAGCTGCACAAAATGAAGAGTAGGGTGTTTACCCACGGGAATGCAACAGCTGACATAATAAACCTTATCATTGCCATGGCAACACTCAGATCATCTATATCTGCACCAGTAGTTACTACTAGTAACCAGATCTTCACCGACACGCTGCACAGCAGCAATACCACATCAAGAGATTAGGAAGAAACTAGAATCATATTACAGTAAGGCACGAGGAAGACACAGGACGGGACTGTAGAAGTGGTTCTTTTTAAATGATCGAGGTTCTGACCTGATCAAATGTTGACAGGTAGGTTGGTTAGGGGCTGCAACTGCAGATGCATGCTGAGAACGCCAAGGAACATTTGGTTTTTAACCTGAGAGGATGGAGAATGGACATGAAAAAGTCCTGGAGAGCCAGACCAGGAAGAGTTTTGTTAATACGAGAAGTCAGTGCTGTTGGATGGCACCAGTGTTATGTTTGACCTAATTTTCACCAGAAACTGTGCCATAGACACAATCTCTGTCCCACCGCTGCATCTTTCCGATCATTACTTCATCCATTTCAGCACGACTCTACAAAAGAGGTCCACTGCTTCCTCCCAATGGTCTCATTCCGCCGCAACCTCCGCAATCTGGCACCCAAACACTTCTCCTGTCTTGTTGCCTCCACTCTTCCATCTCCCAGCACATTCTCTGCTTATGAAGTGAATGATGCCACCGAGTCTCTCTGCTCCACACTCTGCTCTTGTCTTAACAACTTGTGCCCTTTAGCCACTAGACCAGCTAGATCCTCTCAGTCGCACCCTTGGCTAAATGATACCCTTCGGTCTCTACGCACCAATCTTAGAGCTGCGGAACGGAAATGGCGCAAAACAAAAGATCCTGGTGATCAATTGAAATTTCATGAATTACTGTTCTCATTCTCTGCCAGCACCACTGATGCAAAGAAAGCTGTCTACACTGACAAAATTCTCAGCTCTACTGACTCTCAGAAACTATTTTCAACATTCAAAACAATGCTCAACCCTCCATCTCCACCTCCTACCAACAATCTATCAGCTGACACCTTTGCCTCATTCTTCACTGACAAAGTGGCAGCTAGGGCTGCACGATATTAGGAAAACCTGCGATATTCGATAACCGTGCTTAATATTGCGATATCGATATTACTCGCGATAAATGAACAAATACTAAAGTATGCAGTGTTGATGTCGTCTGGCGTGTGACGTCTGCTCTGGGTTCAAAGCAAACAACAACTAATGCATGAATTCCATTACAACATAACATTTTTATTGCAAAAATATGCAGCTGCACCTGCTACTGTATTAGCAGCAAAACAACAAACTGCATGCATGCAGTTTCTCAGTGACTTTAAAACATCACCTCCACCATAAAACTTTTTCTGATGCTCCAAATACAGAAAAACATCCCATACCAGGGTCTTTGAATAAATAAAAAAAATCAGAAAATAAGTTTAAATGTTAAATAATAGTTAACATCACTTAAATGCAACCGCACATTCTCTCATTGCTACTGAACATTTTCTCCACTTATGTGGTTATGATATAAGGCTGTTGTGAACTGTGCTGGGCCAAACTAGGACAATATTAAGATTTTCTGAGGGAAAGAGAAAAACAATTGTCTACCTTTCAGAAGAGGAACTGGCAAAAAAACTACATGGAAAATATGTGAAAACGTTTGGTTTTACCCCAAATTGAAAAAGTTTACCTAGATCTTAAAAAGCAGCTCAGATGATGAAACTGCAACTATGATTCTGATAACAAGCTAACAAATTGAACTAGCTCCTCTTAAGATAACCGGCTAGCAGAGCTTCTGACTGACTCAGTTTCTGTGCAGCAGAAAATCAATTATCCTGATTAACAAGGTTATAAACGCTCATAAATGAAAAATCACTTTGATGTGTGGGGGAACTTTTCCAGGCCCTCTTTAGCAGGGTGGGACTGGGAGGAGAGTGCTGTAGCCTTTTAGCTGGAAGCTAACCGGAGCCTGGGGCTAACGGTGGGTTGGTTCACCGGCACGTGTCGGAGTCAGCTCGGTTATTATCAGCTGCTTAACGACACCGAGCTGACTCACGTTCACGTTTGAAAGCAGCGCTGATTCCAGAAACCTCAGCACAAAGTGCGTTCGTTAATCTGAGCCAGCATGACGAACAAGGGAAGCGAGCGGCAGCGGGGGCGGAGCAGAGATAGTGGAATTTTGGGGTAAGGGTCTACGTAGGGGGCGGGCGTATTACGTGAACGGAACCATCTGATTGGCCGCATATCAGAAGGGCTACATTTGATTGGTCAAATAATACTTCCGTGTAAAAAACAGAGCTGGTTTACAAAAAGTTGATGTATGACACGTATGGAAATGTTTGAACCAAACATTTATCGCCGTTTTTGACGTGCTTTACGATGGGCATATCGCACGTCCTGTTATCGCGATGACGATAATTTTTCTATATATTGTGCAGCCCTAGTGGCAGCTATAAGCAAACAGTTTACTCAGCTGGCCACTTCTGAACATTTGCTACCACAAACTCCTTCTAGCCCAACCATCTCAAGCCCTACTGCTTCATTTTCCTCTTTTTCCCCTCTCACTGAGAACTGTGTGTCCAAGCTTCTCACGTGCAGCCGCCCTACTACATGCCCACTCGACCCCATTCTGACTAAGCTGCTCCAAGCTATTGCTCCTACAGCAGCCGCAGCAGTCACACGTGATCAACACATCACTGACATCCGGTACATTTCCCACCTCTCTCAAGCATGCTCAGGTTAAACCACTGCTAAAACAAATCCATCTCTTCCTCCAAATCATGTGGAGAACTACCAACCTATCTCTCTCCTCCCTTTTCTGTCCAAAATCATTGAAAGGGTGTTTTTCAAGCAGATCACAGAATACCTCTCACAAAACTGTCTGCTTGACCCTTACCAATCTGGGTTCAAAAGGGCCACTCCACTGAAACTGCTCTGCTAGTAGTGACGGAATCCTGAAAAGAAGCTAGAGTGACTGCCAAATCCTCAGTGCTTATCCTGCTCGACTTATCAGCTGCATTTGACACTGTCAACTATGGCTTCCTTTTGTCCACACTCTCTAGCATGGGCATCACAGAGAAAGCACACACCTGGTTTGAATCGTACCTCACAGGACGATCATTCAGTGTATCTTAGTAAGTAAGTAAGTAAGTAAAAGTTTATTTATATAGCACCTTTCACAGATATAAATCACAAAGCGCTGTACAAACATGATAAAGATCAGGGCAAATACCTCTAACCAATAAAAACATCAGAAAAACAATAGCAGTGATAAACGTAGAAAATAAAATCATGAGTATAAACAAAGTGAAGGTGTGAACCCGAACAAAGCCATCTTTTTGAAACATTTAGGGAGGGAACGCCTGGATGAAAAGGTGAGTTTTTAGATGATTTTTAAAGACCTCTACGAGATGGAGATTTGAAGGTAGACTGTTCCAATGTCTG